CCTCTATAACTAATAGTAGCTAGTCTTAAATTAGTTTGCAAATAGAAAATTAAGAGGTGATTTGCTATACTCAGGTGATTATACAAGATACAATAGATAGTTTAAATTAATATCATCTTGATATAATTCTGTAACTAATCTTATCATGTATACAGCAAATTCATAATAAAAAAAAAAATATATATATATATATAAAATGAATATAAAACAAAAGACTGAATACTAATAATATATTTATAATAAGAGTTGTTTGATGACTTGTTATCTTGACCAATTCAAACAAATAAGAAAAATAAAGAGAAAAGTGATAATAATATTTCATCTACAGCATATTATAAAAAAATAATAATACTGTAGTTCTTCAAGACTCTTTATCCGATAATGAAAATGATAATATTGAATCTCAAGCTTCATTACCAGTTTATGGAAATACTAATATTAACATCTTCTCCAAAACATGTGATAATAATAATATTGACTCTCAAGCTTCACCACTTCATAGAAGCACTAATATTAATGCATCTTTTTCACAAATATGTGATAATGATGATATTGAATCACAAGCTTATTCATGACTTTATAGAAGTACTAGTTTTTACAAACATATAATAATGTTGATATTGAATCACAAGCTTCTTCGCCAGTTTATAAAAATAATAATATTAATACATCTCTTCCAATTTCTTCAATACATAATGATAATATGCCAGCTTCTTTCTTAGGTATGTATTAGTAAAAGGACCTATAAGTAATAAATATTTCTAATATTTTTAAGATAGCTTAACTTTAAAGTGACCAACACAATTTCAACAATTTAATAATGAATTCGAAATTACTTTATAGTTGGCACATCACAAAGAATAATCGACTTAGCTATCAATATCAGAAATGGAATGATGACAAAAATAGATGAAGAGGATGATAGACTTTTAACATCTACTATATCAAATGAATCTGTATCAAAATTTTCAGAAATTAATCAAGTAAGATATATATACTATATATCAAAATATTAAGTTTTAATTATATTTTATTTCTTTTTAGCAAACTAATATAGATTTTTATTATATAAGATATTATATGATAATTATGCTAACTCTTAATTTTAAATCTAGTATACTAAATTCTAATTACAAGAAGAGTGCAAAGTATTGTTTTTGTAAACTTGAAATAATACTACAGTATTATATGAAGAAATTGTTATGAAAGTTTGCAAAATTACCAAAACTGATCGCAGATTAGGATTTTTAGTTAAAGATGTTAGTGGATGGTATAATATTATTATTATAAATTCAATATTGCAATAGTAAAGTTAGCGAATGAATTTAGATTAATGAATGCAAGGTTCGTAATAATAGTATAATAAATAATT